TAACTGTGAAAATTTATCTGTAAAACCATTCTGTCATGTATGTGTTCTAGTTTTTGTTTTGGCATAACGTCCCACTGTTCTAATTTTTATTTTGAATCTTACTGAAATCAACCAAGGTCTGAATGGATACTAGATGTAATTTAAGACCTTCAAATTTAAATTAGAGGAAGAACAGAGGGGTTGGAATAGAACTAATGTTGCAAATTAGTTTCAGTGTTGTTCTTCAACAATACTAGTTTAAATCGCTTTGTTTAAACTCTGTAATTGATTTCAAATTTATTGTAAACAATTCTTGGGGATGATTCTAGGCTTAAATAAGACTCCTAGATTAATTTAAAAACCAAACAAAAAGGTTGCAACTGGCCGGAGTTGGAACAGAGGTCAGAGACGAGGCTGAAACGGAACAGAACGGGGACGGAGGCTCTCAAAAGAGGTGAGAGCCGGCTCCATGGATGTGGGAGCCGGCTCCCACACTTGAAGAGCCGTCTCTAAGGTCTTTAGAGCCGGCTATAGGCTCAAAAGAGCCTGCTCTTTTAAATTTAGAGCAGGCTCTCTCAAATTCTCACTTCCTGTTATGTTTTCTACGACTTGTTTAACACTGTTGGAGCATGGAGACTATTTGAATGGATCTGGAACTTTACAGAGGGACTAAGGAATGAATTTTGGGTGTTATTAAGACCCTAAATTGATTAAAGTTTAATTCTAAATTAACGGAACAAACCGTATAAAATTTATGCACATTGTATACGGTTAATGGATGAATGATGATTTAAATGCTTAAGCTTATTTTTGGATTTTCCAGTGGGATCTATTATGTTTGGAAAATTATTCTAAATGCATTATAGGGTCATTGATGTATTGAAGTTGATCTATACATACTTTGGAGGCTAATTGTTGAAGTATTAAATCATTTATGCAACTATATGGATTAATGCTTGGTTTTAAATTGCTAAAGCATTAATCAATCTTCTGCAGTTATTTTAGCAATGTATCGGACTATAATATGATTATAGAATTTATTTAAATGCATGATAGAGTCATTGATATATTAAATTGGATCTATGCATGCTCTAGATGTTAGTTGTTGATTTATTAAAGCATTTCTTACAACTATATGGTTAAGTGCTCAAATATAAATTGCTGAAATTTTAAACATATTTCTACAATTATTTGGATAGTGGTTTTGGTCTGTAAATTATTGAACTGTTATATATGTTGTAATTTACATGGATATGGAGGATTGTATGTACCGGTATGAGACGGTGACATACTAGGGACGGTTTAGCTCAAAATGCATAAACCTACCCTAATGGACTAAATGAATGGATTGAACAATATTAAATCCTAATTGTGACTAAGTCAAATCAACTGTGACTAAGTTGAATGGCTTCCTGGATTAATGGATGGTAGTTAAGTCATATCAACTGAATAAGTTGAGTGGCTAACTTGTTGGTTTATTGTATGTCAATTTAATAAATGATTGAACTACATACACTGGATTTGGACGGACTTTATATATATGTTTATGTTACCACGAGTTGTGCTTGGGTCTCAGACTCGTTGGTTAGGGTGCGTATATGCAGTAGATGCGTAGCTGGTTATAATAGGTTGAAGTGTACCCTGTTAGGTCTAAATACTCATGCCCACCTTTGGGTGCGTATTCACATGTTGCCTTCTATTCAGGTTGAGACCCCTATTATAGACCAGTGAATGTCTCTTAGTGTGGATATATTTATATGTATGGACTAGATAGATATTGTGAGGTATCTACGGTGTATCTGCGTATCGAGTCACTATATAGATTGCAGTTAGATTAGAACTTGCTCGTGGGTCTGACCCACTCCTTTATTATTCTTTTCAGGTACAGGACGGTTTCAGCCTTAGAGCTTGATCGTGCTTATCGAGGACAGTCTCACATTCATCTGATTACGTAGGACTTTTCTCGATATTTCTAGCATTATCTATTTTCAGTTTTCAATTTCATTTTCACTTTTGGTTAGGGGTCCACCAGTGGATTCCCAAGTTGTAACCTTGAAGTTTTGAAGGATTAGAGTTTTATTATTCAGTTATACATGGAGGGTTTTATAATTAATATTTCTTTCAGCTTTATTCTATCTTTATTATTTCATTTTGTCATCTGTGTTCGCTTTAAAATACTTTAATTGTTTGATATTCCTTCGGGTTTGGGCTTGAGCCTGATCAACCCGTGTCTCGGATCCGAGGGGTATCGCAAATAGACCCAAAGCCAGGCCCATGACCCGAATAATGATATCTGATAGGGAAAATATTTCCATTGGATAAGACTGATAATATTTCATTATTAAGGATAATGAAATATGACGTAGTTCAACAGGGTAAGGATAATCTTGGCACAATTTGAGGAAGTCAAAGGAGTAAATCATATTCCCGACAAATCTGGCAACAAACGGATCTCTTCTTATTTCGCACGAGCAGATGATAAGGGAGACTTCAACCATCAACATCGGCGAAACGAATTTGATTCCAATCGACAGTCATAAATAGGGCACCAAGCCATTAAAGAAGATACGTGAAAAAACCTCTAAACATGATATATATAATTATTATATGCTACGATTACAAATACTAACTTGATCGTCGGAGGGTCCTTGGCTGGCACCCAACCGGTGCCATTCGAGGTGACGTCCCTTTGTTTTGCAGTTATACGCCGTCGTTCTGAGTCGCGAGAATTTTCGAATCACCAATATCAAATCAAAGTAGCTATTGAGATTTCCATAGCTCAATCCGAGCAATCCATAAGCTTAATTGCTTTCTTTTTGGATTGGAAAATTGTAAATAATTTATCCTAGCCAGCTTTTGTTTTAATTGATTCATCTATGACATAAAGGGTGACTGATTTATAGTGACATCACATGATGCGTCCATTATTTTACTCACATAATTTAAATTTGGTAACTGCTGGATTTAGTTTTTAAATTCCTATCCATAAAAGAAATTTAATTTTAGTTCTTAAATCCCCACTCATAAGAAAATTTAATTTGCTTAGGTCTTAGAATAATTAAACTAATACAATACATAGAGAGCTGATATTCTACTTTTAAGTAAGCACATTCCACATGTTTCTATTTCATTGGTTAAGAGAGAGGGTGCACATTTACCTTTCAAAGTGGCAAAGTGAGTGTGTAAATTATTTGTGTTTTTTGTTAATGAAAAATAAAATAAAATAAGATGATTGAAAATACTGTTATAAAAGTTTTTGCTTTGTTTTTTAAATCTGTATGTACAAATTAACATTAAGAAAACGGATGATTAGTCATGGCTTAATTTAAATTTATTACTAAATTAATAATTAGTTGACAGTAAGCTGGAGATCATATACTAAAATGGAACAGATCTGGCCCAAGTGATTAGTGGATGGACTGCTCAGATTTTGGTGCATCTGGACTCTCTCTCTCTTTCAACAATGAGAGCCCTAGAAGTCCCCAAAACTCATTTTCAAATGGGAAATGAATTCCACACCAAATAAAATAATATATATATATATATATATGTATATAGAAACCGACCCTAACCCTAGCCCATGCAGATCAGCAAACCAAGTGAAAACTCTTCTCGTTGAATGCAATGAGGCAGACAGGCGCAAAACACCCGTTTCTTCTGTCTCACTCTACCATACACAATATCAAGCCACCTAATAGCTGTAAACAATACCAAATTAATTTAAAAGTAATGCCATCCAAACTGAAAAAGTAGATTCAGTAACTAAATAATCAATATGTATGTTCATGTGCATCGCATATGATGTCATTTCATAAATGCTCATTAGTTACTATTTTAACACGTTGATTATTTGGCCAATTTTTTCATGTTGAGAAGCATTTTTTATTATCTAATTTGAACTTGCTTAATTAGATGAGTTCTTAGGTAGTGCCCAACTCCCCGAGGGTGTGCCTGTGTTCGACTCCTTTTTTTCTTAGTTTGTCATGATAAAAAATAGAATTAGATGAATTCTCAAGAGTTAAATATTTTTAAAAGGTAAAACACCTGACCTCAATATTACTTTATCGCGGTCCCCAAACTTGTTAATTGAATAAGGTTTTACAACACTAGTTAATGTTGTTGCAAAATTAATCCAAAATGAAACAAGCACAAAATTTTAAAAATAAAATAAATAAAAATTAGAAAACACAGATTTACATGATTTAAAGACAGCCAACTAAGGTTTAAGGGGCACACTCCTGGCTCCTTAATTCTATAATATATATATATGTGTCCGCCCCCCTCTTCTGCACTCATGTGTGGTATATGCGTGTAATAATATTTTTTCTCTCTATGAACTTAATGCTCTTATTTTTGCTTTTTTTTTTTTTTTTTTTTTGCTTTAATCAAGTAAATTGTACCCTCTGTAATGAAATATTGGCTCCCTCTTTGACATGATTTATCCAAAATTAGAGTTACGAGTAAAAATTATTGAGTTCATAATGATAACAACCATCCTCACTATATTGCTTTAGAATTAGCGTTATATAACAAGTGTGAAAATATTTTTTTAAAAAAAATAGAGTTAAAAAATTTGTTAAAGTATTGACCATGAAGCCCTAATCGTCCATTTCTCTGTTGGATTCCGGTTAGTGTCCATAAACCCATGCACCAAATATCTCTTTCTAGTACGACGTCATGAGATCCTTCCTTGTGTTGGTGAACTAACTGACACATGGGTTTACACGAATGTTCATGTACCAATTTGCTATGGGAATGTGCAACCAAAAAAGTGCCCAACTTTTTATTATTATTATTATTATATATTTTTAATCACCCTTTTAATTAACGAAACGTAAAATTTAAGGCAGATATTGGAAACCCTAGTCCCCAGCTTTGACTTAGCTTATAGAAATTTTAAATTTTGGACCACCTCTTGGACTTTGTTTGGACTCTCTATATCGCCCACATTACATTTTCTGTTATTCCTCTTTAGATGTTTGAGTGACACACACACACACACAAAAGGAAGGAAGACAAAGATGGTGTCTATTATAAGGTTAAAAAGCTTATTTGCAGTACTCTTCTTGATCACAGTAAGGCTCTCCATTGTATATCCTCAACAAGGTATATTATAGTTTTTCTTCATCAATTCTTTTCTCTCTTTTCTTTTTAATTTGCTTTTTACGCTTTCGTTTTTATTTTTATTTTTTTTACAGATGGAAATGCAAGTAGAGAAGACAATGCTATTTCGACTGGAACGGTAAGAACATGAATTGTGTTAATTATTTTCTAACAAAAAATAAAATTTAAACAATGTAAGCTTACTACGAAAAATTATGTGAAAGGTTAATTATGTTCGTCTCCGATCTTCCTTTTTAATTAGCAATGCACTTTGGACAATAATTCTCCGATCTAATAGTCTAGCCAAAAATTCTAACCGAGATTTCTGTCCCTCGGATGTATTGGAGAAGGCGAATCCATCCAAAATGTCTCAGTTAGGGTTCTCGACTAGACTATTAGGTCTGAATAACGTTGTCTTTACACTATTACTAGTTAATTTATTTATGTTTTTGGTATAAAGTTGAAGAATTAACATGTCTGTAGCTTCTAAGAGGTAGAAAAATGGTGATCAATAATGTGATGAAGCTAGAGAAGGTGGAAGAAAATGCCGCGACTTCAAAGATCTCAAGTGAAAAACAAAGGGTTCAAGAGGTGGTGGATTTGAATGGAAGAGGTGAGCAGAGTGTTAGAAGTCTACTTTCTAAAGAGGTAGAGGATGTTGCAGCTGGTTTTGTAGCTTTCAGTGCAGATTACCATACACCAGAACACCACCCTCCTAAAAATAACTGATATTGAAGTTTATCAACACTGATTCTACTTTATTTATAATTAGTATGTGTTCTCTATTTTCTGTTTTCTTTTATCCTTTGTACTCTTTAGAAGAAATCCTTGTGAGACTAAGTTGTGTGTATTATACTTTTATTTAAGCCTACAACAGATAATTAACGTGTTTTTAGTGGAATTCTTATTCCAAGGTTCTCTCATATCAATGGAGATCAGAATTTTGTTTTTGTTTTTTTTTTTTTGTTTTTTTTTTTAATTTCTAATTTATTAATATGGAAACCATAGTAGCTTGTGATTGGCATTATATATATATATATATGAATCTATTATTTCATATAATAGACATCATATGCTGTTTTGCATTCCATTCTTTCTTCTGTTGCCATGGTAGTTGTGACTGTACTAAAGGAGTATTTGTGCAACAAATGCATACATACCCTTCATTAAGCGTTTGTAACAAATAGCTGTCTGCAAATATTTGAAGAGATAAGAGAATCTCTTTAAGCTATACTTTGGAGAATGCTTACATTAATGTACTAAAAAGTCCTTATATTTGGTTCTCGAGAAGAAAAATTTAATCTTATATTAAAAGTGTAGGGAAGTCTTTCTCGTCCTTAGAAAAAAAACTTTTTGGCTAAACTTGAAAAAAATACGTTGAAGTTTTTGTCATTATACTTATGCTATTCCTATTTAAAGGTGCAGCTTGGAGGTTAGATGGGTTGGATATATTTGTGCTAACCCAACCGAACCATGCCTAGTCCATCTTTAATTTTTTAAGTTCAGACTGAATTCCGAATTCCAAATCAGGCTGAAATTTCATATTGAATTTGGATTTTCAACTCAAGTTTGGTATTTCGAATTAGAATTTGGTTCCTTAATAACAAATTAAATAACCTTAACTTTTTCACAACTGAAATAATTAAAGATATTGGCATTAACATAATAACAAATTGATCAAAAGCTTATAAGTTCGGGTTACAACTAAGTGAATCCACTAAATAACCAATCAAGTGCAACTAATACAAATATATATATATATATATATATATATATATATATATTGGATTCAATGTGCTGGTTCATAATTTGAGTTCGTTGGGGTTTGTAATTCAAATTGGGACTTCAAGTTGTAATCCAAGCTCCGCTTGAAATAAAATTTTTCATCTTTATCCTATTATAAGTTCTACAATATAAAAACTCAGTATTTTAAGTAAAATTACTTGTGATATATTACCTAGGTCCAGGGTAGTCCATGTAACTAATAATTTATCTAAATTCAGTCTAAAGGCTATGTTCACTAAGGTCTCTCTAAGCTTCCTTAATTTATGCTTCAAGTTAATACTTAATTTGAAATCAAGCTCAAATTAAGGTTTTTTTTTTTTTTTTTTTTTTTTTTTTTTTTTTTTTTCAGAAACTAGAAACCAATAAATAAATCTGTCTGCAGAAGCTCTATAGCCATCATTCAGTTTATCTCATTTCATTTGTATAATTGAATGCAGCATATCTTGATTTCATTTGTTGGAATACTACTCGTCTACCATAAGGAGTAAGTTTAAATAAGAATTTGAAGCTTCACCTCTGATTGGACTTGGGACATGTGACTATATATACAACATGCTCTTCAATTTACGCCACAGAGTTGGATGCAAAAAATTTCTACCTCTTATAAATTGGTGTGATCAAATGTCAACCAACGCGCACAGGAAGCTATGGATCGACAACTCCACTTATGGATGTTGAACCTACTTGTGCTTTAACTTTGTGTTGATATCAAACTTACAATTTCATAATCTCCCACTTAAGGGAAGAGGAGGAACATATGTTGGAGCATTCTGTTTTTATAATGTGGAGTTTCAAATAACAATGATACAAGTACTCTCTTAAATGGTCTATAAATAATATTTTGAAGATAATTGTGGATTGTCTTAATTATTTTCATGGCCAAGTCTTCAAAAGACTTCGATTCATATTATTTTTGGAATGGGAAAATGCTACATAAAGCTACTGAGTTTCTTTTTGACATTGGTAACTGAAGGGTGAATATATAAGATTTGTTTTAGTTGTTACTGAGGTCAGCGGGGCGATGGAAAACACATGCGCCGGTGTAGGACACTTTTTTCCTATCTGCAAAGAGCTGCAACATAGCAATTTATATAGTAAGGGCATTTTATTATATTTACTTGAGCTGCAACTAAAGAAGATAGAAAATGATCTGATTTTTTCCGAAAATTTAAAGTAGCCACTAACATATGATATGATTTTTTATATTTTTGTCACCATTACAATTGTAAAATATGAACTTGTGTATGTGGTTGGTTGTAGTGCAATGCATTCACATATAAAATAAATAAACGTAGCTGCATTGGATTTTTTTTGTGGCTTGATTTTCCATTTGATTATCGAGAAAATGTTGGAAAAGAAAACTAATTTGGAACAAAAATATGGGTCCATGTTTTGTGTTTCTCTGCTGTATGGATATTGTTTGGATAAATCATCATCTTAAAGCCATGTAATTGAATTGAGTTTAGAAAAATGGAGATTTTTGTTTTCTAGTGCCACAAAGAGAATCCAAATATTAAGTCCTTTTGATTTTCTTACTCTTTCTCTGGAATGAATGAAGAATTATAGTTTAAAAAAAAAAATTTTGATTACGAATTTGTGAATGCTTAGAACTAGGGCTGTGTACTGACTAAGGTTTCAGGTTTAGGGATTAATTGTTTATTCAGCTCATAGAATTGAAACATCTTTGATTTACTTCTCTGTTTTCTGTTTTCTTTTGAACATTGGTTTGACTCGTACATAAATTTGTGAAGAAACTAGCAGAATGTGGCTATTCTCAGAACTCTCAAGATGAATATTTCAGCAGCTTGTGTAAATGCAATCTTTCATAGTGCATTACTTATTATCTTGCGGTCAATCAAGCATAACTTGAGAAATCTGCCAGAATTGAATTATAAGACGACACTAAATTTAAGAGATGAATTCTTCTACCTTAATCAAGAAATACTACACACCGAAGAACAAATCCCTAAGTTGAAAAAGTGCTATGATATTGGAATTTATATGATGGGTCATGTGAAAAACCAGTGATTTAGGTCGTTTTCTTGTTTGTGGATGATAATTATTTCTATTTGATTCATAATTAACAATTTTATTCTTTCCATTTTGTTAACAGCATACTGAATTTGAGACTTGTGTAATGCAACTACATACTTGCTTGGATTTTGTACCATGAAAAACGAGGTCATGTTTTTGACAAGCGCAGACTCAAACTCAAGTGCTAGGTTTATAAATTGTTCAACAGAAATGCTAGGAAATTGATGATTTTTTTTTTTTTTTTAACAAATGGATTTACTTCATGTTTTGACATACTAATGAATGATGAGTGTTTTAATTGTAAAAATATTTTAAATATTTGATATGTTTTTTAATTGATGAGTGTTTTATGGTTATTGGCATTAACATATAAAATTAATATATTTTTTAATTGAATGATAGTTGAAAGTATGCCAATTGCAGGTTGTATGAATGATTAGCTGGCATCAAAAGGTGCTGTATTTATTAAAATTATATATATAGGTTATCTACGGGGTGCTTGACACCTCGTAAATAAAAGGTCATATTCAGTGTTTGCCTCCTGTGAAAAGTTTATATTATTTACTTATAGCAAAATGCTTGGTGCCTCATGACTATTTCGATGTATTAAGGAGTAACCTAGTACCTCATAAATTAATTATCAATAGGTATACAAAACTATTTTCTAAGCCAATGCATTCTTTTCTCTTTGTTTTCAAAAATGTGCCTGAATAGGTTTTCAAGCTTTTGGAAGATTTTTTTTCTTGCAGGGAAGAAATACCAAACATCTAATTATGATTAATTTTATTGGCTAACATGCTACCTATATGATCTAGAAGAGACAACAATTTGGTATGCCGTCTATCATTGCTCTTCAAAATTTTGAGCAATTGACCGAGCAACCTCATCTCCATTTTTGCGAATATGACTAATTTTAAATCAGAAAAAACTACCAAGCCCCTACAAAATAAAACCCTTTGTTTTAGGAGGTGTTGAGTATAAATGAGATGTTACTCAAGCGACTTGTTGACTACAAATAAGATGTTGACTCCTTATATATAGACATTTTTCTCCTAAATGGATTCCTAAAATGCATTCTAATCAATAGCTTAGATTTATTCTCTAGAACACTCCATCTAACTATTTAAATTATCCATTTATTTTATATCTCTCCAAAATTATTTACCGTTCTCGTATTCTCTCTAATTCAATAAACTCTCCAATATTTTACAATCATTTATTACTTTTTACAACACTCCACAATTTTTTGCATAAATACAGAATTTTATTTTATTTTTTTTTTTTTTTTTTTGGGCAAGTAACAAATACAAAAGATTGTAAAACTCAACTCTCCACATATACTATCAGGCCGATAAAAACGCCATGCCCTGCGTGACAACCTCTTGCAAGATGAAGCAAGTATTGAATCTTTGGGTGTGAATGTTAGAGAGTATCAAGTTTAATTACATTTTCAGTGGTAAATATTGAATCTTTGGGTGTGAATGTTAGAGAGTATCAAGTTTAATTGCAATCTCTTATTAAAATTTGATACCATGCGGTTAATATGTGTGGCACATTTTAGTTTTTGAATTAACTTTGCTTATTATCCCTGGCAAACAAGTAAGTGGAGTAATATACTACAAATTGGCACCAAAATTTTTCAAAAACTGCAAGTATATTACCATAGCATGAATATGGTTTATCGTTGCCATTATATATAATTAACAGTCTAATTTGGTCAAATATTAATATATTTGCGTAAAATAATAAATTAATCATGTGGAGTTGAAAATATGACCTACTAAGTAGTCTAACTGAATATATTACTATTTTTAAGTAATTATTTATTTATATCAGTTGCTTGAAATTTCGAAAAAAAAAAAGCCATGATAGATTACTAATTCATCCATTATCCATGAGGCAAGATGATT